TGACGGAAAACAAGATGAAAGCTTTTTTTTATTTTTAATGATATCAAACGCTTCAGATGCAGAATTGAATGTAATCAATAAAGGTCTAGGTTTGTTAGATTGATAACGGCCAAGATGAACAATTTTTATCGGTACCGGCACTGTAACATTAGGTTCGTTGATTATAGTGTGTAGAATGACATTTACCTGATCGCGATCATATGCAATGCGTGCTTCAGACTGATTTGAATCGCTTTCGGTGACATTGTAACAGATAAGATTTGCTGCACGCCTGTTGCGCTCATTAATCTCACTGATAACAAATTCATAGTCAGATTCTTTTTTTAAATTTTGTGACGTTGAGTTTTTAAGTACATCAACTTCCGTTAGTAATTTTTTTTAANTGATAGTCAGATTCTTTTTTTAAATTTTGTGACGTTGAGTTTTTAAGTACATCAACTTCCGTTAGTAATTTTTTTTTAGAATTTTTAATTCAGGTAGTTCCTTAAATCCTTGATCGCAAGCCATACAGATATATTTTAAAGATTTATTTTTCATCGTTACACATTTTAACTCAGCAGCTGAAAGTCCCGAACATTTACTATGAACAGCTTCAGAGCAACTATCACATTTTATAGGTACATCTAATTCCACAAAGCGGGTCAAACATGCCGAACAATTTAAAGGTTGAGACATTTTATTAAGTAGAAAACTTTAAATAGGAGGTTAGCTAAACAAATTATAGTATTTAGTGTAAGATAAGAAGAGAAGAAAAAATACGTCCGTACTGTATAAATGCCAATTGATAATTGAAATTATTTATAATGAGAGGACCGGCGAAATCAATTCCTACTCGCGAAAACGGGGGACTGACCGTTACCCGAAACTCGGGTAAATCCGCCATCACCGGCTGAGGATTGGCTCCTTTCCATCGTACACACGTGATACACTTCGCAATTACCGAGCGATATATAGACCTGAATGATAAAATCCAATGATAGCGAAGTAATACAGACTCAACTAGACGCTGACCGCTATGGCATCTTAATTGATGCCAATGAACACATAAAAGAAATGACAATTTTGATTTTTTGGGCATTAAAATAGGAAATTTCTCACGGTGGGATAACATGGAATGTCGTAGGCGACCTCCCACATGAAGTATTCCCGTCCCATCGATGAATGGAGAGAGCTTGGCTACGGCTTTAGGTGTCACAGCTACCCTTTGTTTTATCATTACTTTTAATACCGGAAACCTTGTTTTCTGATCATTGAACAATATCACATATCTGGCTTCATCGAGGTCTGCAGTAGATAGTACCCTCTGATACCTTTTACTGCCGCGACAGCCAAGTATGAATCTCAACGCCCATGCTGTCACACGTATCAATCGGTTGTAAGAGGAACATCGAGCAATTGATTGATGATCAATAGGGTCCTCACTAGCTATCAAGACTTGAGCGGCAACATGTTTCAATTCTGGTAAATGATTAATTGGTACTGGCGTAAATTTATTCGTCCATTTGTCCTCGATCTGCTGCAGATGGTCAGGCCCCCTCCAATATAAATTGCATGCAGCTCATTCAGTGGGTAAGAGCCCTCGCGAAGCGCAATCAGCAGGATTTATTGTCGTCGGAACATAAGCCCACTCGCAATCCGGAAGTAGATCACGGATTTGTTGTACACGATTTGTCACGAATATTTTAAAGGCTACGGGTGATGTTTTGATCCATGACAACACTACCCTAGAGTCCGTCCATGCAAAAATCTTTGATATAGTATAAGACTTACTTATTATCGTGCGTATGTTGGCCATCTATTTCGCCAAAAGCAATACACCGCAAAGCTCTAACCTTGGGACTGTCATTGATGGCTTTAACGGTGCAAGCTTTGTCTTCGCTCCGAGCAGACACACATTATCATCATCGGAAAGAAATCTCAAATACACAACAGCTCCGTACCCATTTGAAGAAGCGTCCGCAAACCCACATAACTGAACCGGTCGACTAATAGAGCCCACGTGTCTTGGAATCCATGGTGGATAAACATGGTAACGTGTGAAGAAATTCCGTCCAGCTATTAAAGACTTCTTTGGGTAATGGATCATCCCATGCGACATTTAATTTACACAACTTTTGCATAATACATTTTGCCACAAACACTGCCAGTGCCAAAAAACATAAAGGGTCAAAGATGTGAGCTATTGTGGACAGCACACTTCTCTTGATATGTATTTTTACTGCTTCAATATCATAATGAATTTCATAAGCGAATTGATCGGTAGCTGTGACGCAGGCTAGACCCAATACCTTAACCATAGCCATCATGTTGATCGAAGCTCATTTTTTCCGTTACTCTGTCGTCCTTTGGAACCGCTTTTAACACTTCCGGTGTATTACAAGTCCATTTCTCTAGAGCAGAGGTTCTCAAAGTCAAATGAATCACGGACCCCCATCTAAAGACCTACAGTTTTAAAGACCTAATCCTGATATGTGCTCGCGGACCCCTGGGGGTCCGCGGACCACACTTTGAGAAACTCTGCTCTAGAGTAAATCCTCCCCCGTTAAGGACTTAAATTAAATCTGACTGTTACCTCAGTACCTCTTCAACGGTGTTGCAGCCAGTACATATATCATCAACATACGTGAGATCACAAAGGGCTTGCTGTACGTTAGGATAACCCTTCGCGTCATCTGCTGCTAATTGTCGTAGTACTCGTAACGCAAGGAATGGTGCTGAATTTACCCCGTAAGAAATCGTGTTTAATTGATAATCCCGTAAAGGATCTGTTGAAGAGGGCCGCTACACTATATGTTGAAACCGTCTGTCATCTTGTCACATTAAAACCTAACGGAACATTTTACAAATATCAGTAGTGAATGTATACCTCGGAGTGCGAAACCTAAGCAAAATGTCAACAATTTCATTTTGCAACTTGGGACCTGTCAATAACCGATCGTTCAGATATTTTATTTTTTCGGTCTTCGACACTTTAATAAGAGAAACAGAGAGGATTCAACAACAAGCAACCATACAATTACCGCACGTAAAAAATCTCCCCAAAAGGTAAAAAAGGTGAGAGAATAAAACTGAAAATAACAGACATATATCCCGTCGATATAATAACTGGTTTTTGGCAAGCGCCGTCACTAATCGACGGCACAACAGGTTGATAGTGGAAACGGCTGATAAGAACCAATTATCTCCACCGCGCATTGTCGCCTAGCTCGAACAACATGACTGAAATTACAAAAAGCAACAGAACCAAAGTATTACCTCAGCATAAAAACACATCAAAATGTCTTTCATTTTTGGTACAGATTTTCATGGACATGTAAAAATTAACGATAATGTTAAAGTTTTTTAAGTTGCTTTAGGCAAGAGGCAAGTCCATTTTGAAGCTAAAATAATGGAAGGTAAAAATGCAGTATTGTTTTTGCTGACAGAATAAGTTTTTCTTTTTGTAAAAATCATCACTAATTGAAAATGCCCGTCTAAAACGATAAAATATTGCTGAGTAGGAAAAGGTGACATCCTCAGGTCCTTTTAAGATAGTTTTGGCAAGATTAATGTATTTTTTGTTTACTTATTTCAAAAAAAATTTTTATGAAGGACTAAGTCTGAGATCATTATAACAAACAAATAGGTCCATTATTTTTTTTACTAGAAGACATACAAAAGAAACGGATATGCGTTTGGGTAAAACAAAACAATAAAATATAATTTGATATGAAATTTAGGGTTTGATTAAGTTCTTCATAGGCACTAATTGTAAATACATTTACCGTAAACCATCTATTTTTCAACCATTTTTCAAAAATTCAGACATTGATTTTTACTGAAAATGGTGTACTTTAACAAGGATGTTATAATTTTTTTTTTAAATTAATTTAAAAAAACCCAAACGACATCTTGCTCACCAATGGTTGAGATACTATTATCATCTTAACAAAATCTTTTGTACATATCTTCTACTTCATTATTGTCATTAGTATAATAATTACTCTTTCATAATTATTATTATACATTGTTAATTTTGCTTTTATTGTTCGGAAGTTCTAATGTGGACATTAAACTATTTAATGTAAACTATCCAATGTACGTATTGTGTAAATAGCACAAATTATAAATATACTTAAAAGTCATCATTTTAATGAAAAAAAAAATATTTGTAATCCTAGTGTATATAGTACCTAAAAGATGATGGAGTTAAATAAAATAACACTAATAGTAACAAAACTATACATTATTTGTTATATTTTAATGTAAAGAAATTTTGTTTTTTATTTCTTTTGATATATTAAAAAAGTATTTTCGTCTTTTTGTTGCAATGAACATATCAATAGCTCTGTATTTGAAAAATCATTTAAAAATCCAAGTCAAAAATATAAAAAGATACGTTTAATTCATATTGGAGGATGTAGTATACTTTAAATAGAGAAAATGTTAATTTTATTAAACTTATATTTAATTAATTTGTTTCCTTTAAGAAACAAGAATATCCAATTATACGTTTATTTAAAAATTTAGTTTTTCTTTACTGTTATAAGTAAAATTTATTCGACATAACAGATTTATCAAATTATAATTTTATAAATCTTTAATTATATATATGTATTAAAAATAATTAATTATTTTTTTTTTATATATGCTCATATTAGTTCTACTCGCCATCGAAAAATATTTAGCCATAAAATTATTTTTTTACAAATATGAATCTATTTTTACCAAAAATAAATTATGAGCTGTAAACATTTTTCACACATTTTTCTTTGTTGCAATTAATTGTGCTAAGCATACAGGATGTTCAGTAAGAAGGAAACGAATTTCTATTGTACTCATTGTTTGTAACAATTTAACTGTTTCCTAACTTACTGAACACCCTGTATAATTATATAATATATAATTTAAATATAATCTTTTTTCTTTGATGCTAAATTAATCAGAATTTTGCCACCTGTGTATTTTATATTAGATTACTCGTATAACTTTAATATAAAAATAAAATTCTATTACATATTTACAACTTTTTAAACTCAAAAACATATTTTAAACAATATCATTTTTGTTCATTGCTGAAAAAATGTTACCTTTTAATTTTATTATAATTTTTCAACTTATATTTTCTTCCATTTTTTATATAGAAACGGAATCAAATTCAAGTAAAATAATAGATACTGTAAATAATATTTTAAGTTATCCTGGATGGCGTTATATTAAAGACATCACGTCGGTAACATATCTAAATGAAAATTTTGATCGAAGTCTAATATTTCCCCCTAATATTTACTGTTCGGTTAATACTAGAATACGAATATCGACTATCTTACTTGGTTGCACGTATGCAAATGATTTAAAATCAATTTTTTATCTATTAAGTCAACTACGTCGGCATTGTGAAGATTATAATAGTCTAGGAATCTATAATCAGTATGCAGTAAATTGTGCCTTAGAATTATGGAGTCTAATACCACATGTATTTTTCCTAGTAAAATTAATGCAAAGTGCAATGATTGCTTTGGATAAATTGCATACTTATCCTGTGTTATGCAGTGCACAGGACAATATTATTTTAAAGACCTTATTTGAAAGATTCAATTATGCTCATAATAATATGTCCAGCATTAACACATTTCATCTTATTGGTGTGTTTTTTAATCAAGTAGAAATAAATCTTGACAATGATATAAGAAAATTTTGTACGTTATCAAAAAAAATAACTTTATTATCGACAAATTTGGACCAAGAATATAAAAAAGAAAAATCTAAAGATATTAATTTACAGTTTTATAGTTATATAAGTAAAAATATAAATGATAAAATCCATTCAATAATTTCAGAAAAGTACTATCAACTAGGATTCAGCGACATTGGTATATTATTAAATTTAAATTCAAAATCATTAATTAAAAAAGTATTTAACCTTAGCTTAAGATTTCTTTTTAAATATTTGAGAATGTAAAAGTATTTTACGGTCGCTTTTTGAGACACCTGAGAGTGGTTTATTCAGAAGTGTGTTATGAGGAATGTATGTGTGAGGATAGGGATCTAAGGTAGAATTTGTATGCTACTTCGTTGACTGTTTTCAGTAATAAGTTATTATGCAGTATGTTGTTTGGAACGCATACAGAAGTATATATAGATAGAATATAGAAGTTATAGGTCAAAGTGCAATAGATTGAAATGCTTTAATAATTTATGTGCTGAGAAGATTTAGCACACCATCAGACCTGAACTTCATAAGCCCAGACTGGTCGTATAAGTTATTGTAAAATAATATTTTGTTGTTTATTTTTATTTTGTATGTAAGTAGAGGTCAAATATAAGTATAAACTTATTGTTTATTAAAACCAAAAATTATACAATTTTTGGTAAAATTAGCATATTTAGAAGTTTTTTTTTTGTATAACAACAAATCATTTAAAGTTAAATCAAATTTAAGTTTTTTTTTATCTACTTATTAAAAAAGAAAGACGTTATGAGTAATCGTCCACTTAAGTTGATAATTATGAAATTTTGGCGGATATGATAAATCACTAACTATTTGAATAATCCTTAATCAAATCAAATTGTTCAGTGGTAATATTTAACACATCTTTATTTCAATATACATTTTTAAAAATCCAATCATTCACCAAGGTTCTTTAGTGGTTAAAAATCATAACAATTTTTTCTAATATTAAGTTTTGATAATGTTCAAAAAAACTTACATTTAACCTAAAATAAAAATAATGCAATGTACTTTAAGATGAAAAAAGAAAAATATTCAAAATCTCAATTTATGGGAAGTTTCAGACATTGAACAAAAAAACATATAATTTTTGGTAAAATTAGCGATTTTGTAATATTTTGCAAATATCATTCTAAGTTATTTCAAATTAAAGTTTGTTAAATGTATTATATGATTACAAGAAAAAAAAAATCCGGTGACTGCAAACAATAGGTGTCTAAAGTCAAATACCATACAATTTTTGGTAGATATGTTAAATATTTTTTAATGTTTCTAATATGCTTCTAAACATTTATGAAAGTGATTTTAATTATTGACAGATATCAATAAATACTAATCTAAAAAATACCATAATTCCATTTTACTGTCTTCCAACTGCACATTACTTTTTAATTATTTATTTGATTATAGATGCACGAAATGAACCGGAAACTAAGAGACCTATTGAAATTGATTTCTTTAAAAAAGAACTCAAAAAAAAAAGAGGTAAAGTATCTAATAAAAAATTTATTTTGCGATTCCNAAAAGAACTAAAAAAAAAAAAAGGAAAAGTATCTAATAAAAAAATTATTTTGCGATTCCAAATAAAAGAAACTATAAGTAAAAGAAATAAAGTATTTAAATATTTGTTTTTATAAATCACAATTTTAAAACTTGCTCATTAATATATAGAATAAAAATTTTGAGATGGTCAATCAATTTTAATATTTTTTACTAGAAATGGAGAATAGTTCTGAAAGCGTAAATAAACCAATATCCACTCATTTTTCCAAACAAGGTATACTGACAAAATATGTTTTGATCAATCGTTTTTAACATTTTTAACTATTTTAGATAGGAGAAGTCGTTCCAAAAGTGTAGATAAACCAGGACCTTCTAATTTTTTTAACCAAGGTATAACGATACAATAGGTTTTGATTAACCAATTTTAATATTTTTTTACTAATTTAGAGAACGAGAATAATCCTGAACTTGAGGATAAATCAGGATTCATCGATTTTTTCCAACAAGGTACCTATATCGATAAAATATCGAATATAAATAAAAGTTAATTTGTTATTTTATGTTGTTCCAAGTTTTTAGCTTTGATGTGTAGCTGCGAAGGTATTGGGATTGTGATGGCGTGTGCTTATTTTTATGACTGTCTATGAAAAGAATCAGCTTTCATTGAGCTAATTTTAATAAACAATACTCCAAAAGAATATTATTATTATATTAATATATTAATCTAATTGAACTTCAAAGCACCAAAAATTAAAAAAAAACCCTCAATTTTAGAAATTTAAAAAAATCAAATTTAAGCTAACGCAAAAAATAGCATTAAAAATAATAAAATATTCATTTTAAAACTATTATAAATTTTTTTTTTTAAATCATCGAACTTTTTTTAAACAGTTAACTAGAAGTAATGAACTTTCTCATTATATGCTTTTTGTGAATATATTATGATATACCTATGTACAGAGAAGATTTAGAAGTATAAGTCAAGCGTAAAACATTTATTATAACTCAATTTTTTTCAATATTCTGGATGGCTTGATAATTTCTAACCTATCTAGTTAAAGATTTTAAAATTTACTATAATAGAAAAAAAATTATCAATAATTGATTGTTCTTTTATACAAAATTGGCTAAAAAGTAAAAAAATCTATAGAATGCCGCGACCGTACTATGTTAGTTTTTTTAAATTTCAGTTTTGTAATATGAAAATATTCACTTTAGAAAATTTGTTTGTTATACTAGAGTTAAAAAATGATTCCAAAAACAAAGAAATCAGTGAAGCCGAGCCTGAGGAAGAAGAAAAAAAGAATATACCATTTCATATTTTCTTATAAGTAAATTTTCATGTTATAAAAAAAAAACAAATTTTATATATTCAAACTATAAAATTGTAAAAATTCAGTACAAATTAAATAAAACATAATTCGTGTTTCAGATATTTTTAAATAACATTTTTTAAAGCTGATTCAATCGTTAATTTATGTTTAAATACGATATTACTATAATTTATTTTATTATTTAGGTATAATATATTAAAAATGATATCATTTTTAATTCAAAATAGTTGTTTACATACAAAAATTCGTATAAATAAATTAAACATTTATTTTGAAAAATTTATTATTTGGCAGTGAGGTTATATTGAATATTTTTTACAACATAATAATTAAAACTCAAGAATACAATTAGTATCATCAATGTCAAATTTTTACTGAATGACAAATAATTTTAATGGGACACCACGACATCCAAATTTCTTGTGAAATTTTTTGTTTATTATTTATTCCACCCAGAAAAAAACCTTGATATATATACTAAATTCATCGTTCAATTTGATAAATTTATCATTACTATTGTAACTATGATACATTTATTAATACGACAGAGAAAAATTGTAGTGGTTTGTTCATCATTATAACAATGTTGATATTATTAAAATAATAAAATACTATTACAATACAATAATTATAACTTTGTCATATTGATAAATTCATCGTATTTATGACGAATTATTATTCTATATCTATATCACTTTGATGATGATAAAATAATTTATAAAGAATTGAGTACATTTTTTTTAGCTTCGATGCGAAGCTTTAATTTTACTATGATNATTTTAGCTTCGATGCGAAGCTGAGAAGGTTTTAATTTTACTATGATGTGTTTTTTTTTTGTGTCTGTATACGCTCAATCTCAGCTCTCACTGAACCGATTTTGATGAAAAATATGTCAAAAGATCACAAATCGTATCTAGCCGAAGACATTACCCTCAAAAATTTATAGATACCTTAGATATTTACCTATCATTTTATATATTTTTGTGAACATTTGACCCTTTAACAGCCCACAGGAAGAGTTTCAAAATGGTAGCTATTTTACAAAAAATTAACTTTTTCAACTTAACTTTTTAAAATGTTCTGGAAAGACTGACACTTTTATATATACCTTAAATTAAAACTAATGTAATATACTTTAATTTGAAAAAAAAAAATTTGACCTCTGGACTTGTCTTCATGGTGAAAATGACTACCGTATGCAAAAATATGCTATTTTTGTGAAAAAATTCTTGATATTATATTTTACATTTTTTAACATTATGTTGCTATAACTTTTTAAAAAATGCATGAATCAACTTTATTCTTTAGTGATAAATACTTTATATATTCCTCTTACATTCGACATACTTTTTTTTAAAATCGGACCATTTCCCTTTATACAGGGGGGGTGCAAACCTTTTAAAATGCGTATAGAAAGTAGAACTTTTTCAACTTAACTTTTGAAAATGTTCCGGAAAGACTGACACTTTTATATATATCTTAAATTAAAGCTTATGTAATATACTTTAATTTGAAAAAAAAAAATTTGACCTCTGGACTTGTCTTCGTGGTGAAAATGACTACCGTATGCAAAAATATGCTATTTTTGTGAAAAAATTCTTGATATTATATTTTACATTTTTTAACATTATGTTGCTATAACTTTTTAAAAAATGCATGAATCAACTTTATTCTTTAATGATAAATACTTTATATATACTTCTTTCATTCGACATACTTTTTTTAAATCGGACCATTTCCCTTTATACAGGGGGGGGGTGCAAACCTTTTAAAATGCGTATAGAAAGTAGAACTTTTTGAACGACTTTTGAAAATGTTCCGGAAAGACTGACACTTTTATATATATCTTAAATTAAAGCTTATGTAATATACTTTAATTTGAAAAAAAAAAATTTGACCTCTGGACTTGTTTTTCAAATTAAAGTATATTACATTAGCTTTAATTTAAGATATATATAAAAGTGTCAGACCTTCCGGAACATTTTCAAAAGTTAAGTTAGAAAAGTTGTCATTTTAAATCCCTCCCTGTGGGCAGATAAAGGGTCAAATTTACAAAAAAAATATACCAAATGATAGATAATGATATCATGCATCTATATAAAAAAAATTATATTGATTTGATCTTTTTTAAAAAAGTTATGGCAGTTTTAAGAAAAATAATTGAAAAAATATCGAAAATTAATGATTTTTAAAATTGTAATTTTTTTGAAGTTTCCCCCATTTACGGGGAACGAGGGAAATTTTTTCAATTTTTAAGGGTAAAGTCTTTGTCTAGATACGATTTGTGATCTTTTGACGTATCGTTGAAAGAAATCCGTTCGGTGAGAGCTGAGAAAAAGTGGTAACAGACACAAAAAAATAAAAACATCATAGTAAAACCAATATCTTCTCAGCTTCGCATCGAAGCTAAAAAAATTTGACCTCTGGATTTGTCTTCATGGTAAAAATAACTACCGTATTCAAAAATTTGCTATTTTTGTGTTAAAATTCTGGGTTTTGTATTTTATTTTATTTTAAAATACCTGACAAGGGGAGTACAGATTTTCATAAATAAAAAATTAATATAGTATAGAAAGTTAAACTTATTTAAATTTGTTTACTTCTTTTAAGTCGAGAAAAATAACTTTGAAATTTAAATTAGCTTAAATAGCCAATTTTTTCAATCGACGGTAGCAATGTATGGTTGCCGAGTTGGTAAAAATTATGTTTTACACGCTTGGGGTACGAGGTTCCAACCCACGTATGACAATGAATTTTTTGCATTTTTTCTTAATTCTTTTTAAGTTAGTATAAATTTTTAACTCGTTTGATTTTTATCTCATTTAGATTCAATAACTTCAATAAAGATCAAGGATCCCATCACTTTAGTCGCCCCTTGCAAGAAGAAATTTCTTATTCGTATTAAAATTATTTTACTATATTTTAAGTTTTAGCTTCGATGCAAAGCTGAGAAGATATTTTTTTGTGACTATCATTTATTTTCTCTGCTTTAACTTGACCTATTTTTTTCAACGATACGTCAAATGACTACAATTCGTATCTAGTTGAAGATATTACCCTCAAAAATTGAAAAAAAAATTCTAATTTATCAATTAAATAGTAGGTTATTACATGTTCTCCATAAAGACAATTAAAATCATTAATTTCTAATGTTTTAAAAATATTTATTAACGAATAAAGTTTGATATGATAGGTTTCAACTACAAAATTAAATCATTTTACTTTGTAATTTAATAATTTTTTTACTCTATTTGTGTGTGCTAATACTAGACTGTAATATTACAAATTTTTTTGGAACATCATGTTGCTATATAAATAATTAAAATACAAAAATAGCGTTTTTTTTAACTACGGCAGCCGTTTACATGCAGATGATAAAGTGTCGGGACAAATTTTTTTTTTTCATTTTATAGCACATAAATTAAGCTTTATATATATCTTAAATTGAAGCTTATGTAATGTACTTTAAAGCGAAAATGGCTACCGAATGCTATTTTCGTGTGAAAAT